CTCTCTCTCTCTCTCTCTCTCTGAAATAAATGAATAAATGAAAACAACCAATCAAACTTCAAAAAGGAAAAGGACAGGGACATTTTTGATGATTCATGGCGAAAGATGGAGCATGTACATTCAGGAAACATATGTACCATAGATGCCCATGTTTACTTCAGGGTGGAGACCTGACATCTGAATGAGGCCAAACTGAGTCCCTGATGTGAGGAGGTTATCTGAGGACAAGGAGAAGAGGCTGTGGGCATGCTCTGAGAGCTGGTACAACCTGGATGGGGTGTGAGGCTCCTTTTCTCAGGTAAGGAATCAGGACCTTGCTTGTTCATAGGCTGCAGCCATTATCAGTTGACCTTGAGTCCAGACTTCTGCACAGACAGCCCGTATTTGGTAGCAGGGCTTGAAAAGACACAATAGCTGATTAGGGGGAAACAGTTCCCTGAAAAACAAGCTTTACACTTTCTGCTATAGCATCAACTTCATTAACTTTAGGGGGCACGGTTTCAGTCCCCCCCCCCCCCAGTTACGACCATTCCTCGGCCTTAGGGAATTGGGATGATAATGGCTGTGGCTATTCTTGTATCTCCTCAGGGGAGGTAGGTTTTGGGGAAACAACAGTTTCGGTAAATCTCAGCTGTAACATGGCTATGTTCAGGGCTACACAGCAGTTTTTAACCTACAGGTTAAAAGGGAATAAAAATAACAGGGAGTCAGACATGCTACATTTTTCCCTGTTATAACCTCCCCTTGTCCATCCTGCATTCCATTTCTATGAAACATGGGCAGAGCTCTGCCTTCTTTAAGTGCTTCAAGCTGAATTAGGGTGCAGTAGAGGCTTTGGAATGGAAGGATCTGAGACAGTGAAGGTCGCAACTTTTGGTCCCTTGTGCTAATGGAGGGGGTCTCAGAGATAGTTTCTTATCTGAGAACTTGGGTATTTTTCTACATGGTCTGGTACCATTGATGTTATCCCCGAGTGTAGTCTGAGGAACAGTAACAGTATAGTCAAACCCAATTCTCTCATTCTCTCTCAAATCGATCTGATATCCATCCAGTGGGTATCCAAGAATACAGATCAGTAAATCAGTCTGAGCCCCTCCCCTGGGGGGGGGGGTTGTGGTGGTGAAGGGCTTCTTATAGCCAAGTAGCTTATAGCCAGAAAACCCATGATTTTATTTACATGGGTTCTTTTTTCTTTTTTTTCTTTAAAGATTTCTATTAAGTAATCTCTACACCTAAGGTGGGGCTCGAACTCACAACCCCGCGATCAAGAGTTGCATGTTCTACCAGCTGAGCCAGCCAGCTGCCCCTATTTATATGGTTCTTATTTTCCAAAGAGGAGTTAATACAGGTGCAGCAGGGTGGAATTAAGGGTCATAGACTCTGCCTCATCCAGCAACTGATCTGATAGTTAAGAAGAGGCATTTCTTTTTTTTTTT